ACAACTTTTACTTGTAATGGAGTAATATTTGACCAGCAGTATCTGTACTTTCACTCAAGTAATGGAGCTGAGTACTTTGTCCGCCTCTGCCTGGGATATATATATTATATTTATATATTTTTAATATATTTTTATAATTATTTTGAGGTAACTATTGGGAAAAGCCATGGAAACGCGAGTAAACAATGAGACATTTTAGGAGGCAAACTATTCTTTTAAGACACCCACTTTAACTTTTTGTTAGTTTATATAACTGTTGAGGTTTAATAGTTTAAACTGTCTCCCCACTGTGTTTGTGAAAACAGACAGCTGTCATGGGAAACTGGATAGATGATAAATAAGGCACATCAGTCTCGTCATCGGGGTTTGCATTAAAACAGGTGATCCTGCTCTTTCCATCTGGCTAATAATCTCCCACACGTCTTTTTGTATGAATGGGTGTACATGATGTCATTTCCTGGGACCTTGCCAGACACACCTTCCACTCAGCATGACAGTCATCATCATGACAAATTCTAGCTTAGATGCAGTAACATCATGCCTCCACATGTTTCCAAAGAAGAGAACAATATGGGAAACCACACCTCAATCTAAGACCCCTTTAGAAGAGCAAATTCACGCCTAAGGCTCCAACGGATACAGTCACTCCTGCTGTCTCATCAGTCCCGTCATTGAAATCGACTTCAAATCTCAGACCAAAGCTACAAAGCATGTGCAAGACATTATCTCAACTGCAGGGCCATTCACATTTATATCAAAATACCAAATGTATCAAATGTTCTACTTTTCAGTTACAGGATTAGTTCACTTTCAGAATAAACATTTCCTGATCATTTACTCACCCCCATGTCATCCAAGATGTTCATGTCTGTCTTTCTTCAGTCAGAGTTTTTTTTGAGGAAAACGTTCCAGGATTTTTCTCTATATAGTGGACTTCAGTGGGACCCAACAGGTTCAAGGTCCAAATTGTGATTTTACGCATTACGTAGTCACATTGGAAAGGTCACACATGGTTAGTTCTTTGTCTGTGTACTTCGATTCAAAATGGTAGGGTAGGGCGAAAAACTCTCATTTTCTCCTCCAACTTCAAAATTGTCAGACATCGTTTTTTACCTTTTTTTGTAAAGGGCGGTTGACTTTCTTTGCACGTTCGCTTTGTAAACACTGGGTCGGTACTTCCGCCCTTCCAACGTGACTACATAATAGTTAAAAAGTATATAATTATTTTTTTTTTTTTTAGAAAATGACCGATCGTTTCGCTAGATAAGACCCTTATTCCTCGGCTGGGATCGTGTAGAGCCCTTTGAAGCTGCATTGAAACTGCAATTTGGACTTTTTTAATCCATTGGGTCCCATTGAAGTCCAGAAAAATCCTGGAATTTTTTTCCTCAAAAACCTTAATTTCTTTTCGACTGAAGAAAGAAAGGCATGAACATCTTGGATGACATGGGGGTGAGTACATTATCAAGAAAGTTTTATTCTGGAAGTGAACTAATCCTTTAATATAATTCAGAATTAGCATATATACAGTTGATTAAATGCTGAACGATAACTGCATTACAAACCTCTCCTTCTCTAGCAACTGTTGCCTTCTGCCTTATCAGACTGTTTTCTAATGAATGTCTACTAAAGTCTTGCACCTTTAGTTTTAAACAGAGTTTTACACAAGATATCCAAAAATGTAGTAAAACAGTCTATGCACTTAAAATAGTGACACAATGTACTTTACCCTATTTTAAATAAATGTTGAGAAGTGCAGGCCGTGGGTTAAACTGTGTCAGTCTTCATTCTCAAATGAATGTGTGTAACATCAGTAAGAACACATACATTTGCTCCAAGGTAAATTAATATAAATGTAATAA